AGTCCATATTATTTCTGGGAGGACATCTAGACTCAACAATGACTCATAGTAGAGCCTGGAGAACAGGAAGATACAGGCAGCCTGGGAATGTAATTACATGTTTAATTCTGTAGCTGGTCACAGAGTATTACTTCATTAGGATTCCTGCAGAAATAAAGTTATACCAGGTACTGAGGAAACAAAAATACCTTGAACTCCACTCAGTCAGATAGACAGACCAGCTATTCTTCCACAAGGCAGGACTCAGAAACGATACTTATCTCTCATAATATTACAATTTCCTCATTTAAAAATAAGATTATAATAGTATTTACAACATAATATAACAATTAGATGACAGAATGACCGTAAAGCCATTGAACAGTGCCTGGTAGTGAATAATTATTGTTTATTAGTGATCTAATAATAAAGGATTCCATGAGATTTTATCCTGCAAGTATTATCCTTAAGTAACCAGAGATGGTAACAGGTTGAAGCAGTAAGAGAATGTAGTGTCTACTAGTGTTTGGGTTGGAAAAGTGACATAATGCTCTACCTTTTAAGCAATGTTTTTGATTCTGTACAGTTGAAGTTAAAATGGTGATGACAGAATTGAATACCTGAAGTTTATGTTTTGCATTCCATGCTTCCTCTGCTCTTACCTTCTCCACTTCCTCAAGTCTTTTCATACGTTCCTGATAATTCTTTTCTCTCTCTTTCCACTTCTGTTCATTCATCTTTTGTACTTCCTCCAATATTTTTCTTGTAGTTGCTTCAGATTCAGCCTTTATACGTTGCACTGACAAAGAAAAATAAGCAGAGAAACATGAGGATTAAATTGTTATGGCTTATTTTGCCTTTCACCCCATCGTTTTTGTTTTATTCTTATTTCAGAGAGAAAACCTCTTGTGATAGCTTTTGCACTGAAGAAGCAAAAGAAAATTGTAAACAACAGTTAAAAAATCCCCTTGAACTATGAACTATATTTGCTATTATTTGCATGACAATGATGATTTCCAGTGCATTAATGTTGTTGACAACATTTCAAGGGTTTCCCATCTATCTGGAATATTTTATTTTGAATAGCTTTACTGATGTATAATGGTAACACTACTTATTGCCAAATGTACTTTTATCTATCTACTAGTAGCTCGGTGCACAAAAATTTATGCATTCAGGGGTGAGGGTGAGGGGTGGGTCCAGACCCCTCAGCCCGACCTGCACCCTCTGTCATGTTCCAGGACCCCGGCCACTCCTGGCCTAGGCACAGGCCTATAGGCTTGGGATGGCCTGGCTCCCGAGGCCCCATTTTATCAAGAGAACAAAGTTGGCATTAGTTACAGCCCTCACCGAACCCAGTACACTGCATCTGTGCGTACAACTGCCTCGTTCATGTGCCTGCTTTGCCTACTGAATTAGTAACATCTTGAGGACATAGCTCTGTCTTATCCTGCTTCACCTTCAGTGCCTGGCCTGGTGCCAGGGACCTGAGAGGGTTTGCTGAGTGAGTGAGTGAATGAATGAGCAAGTAAGTGAATGAGCAAGCAGCTACTGGGTGAGAACTTCCACCCAGTTGCCATGGCAACGCGGCAGAAGTTCCGGCCCCACTCCTGGCTGCCTGAGCCCACACCTGGGAATTTCCCGCCCTGCTCCCAGTGTCCTGGGCCCCTCTCCTGGCTGCATAATTCACACCCAGCTCCTGGCTGCCTGATGCAAACCCCAGGAAGTTGCCGCCCTACTCCCAGGGGCCCCACGCCCCTCTCCCAGCTGCATAGTTCACACAGGGCAAAGGTGGCCCGGGTTCTCTGCCTTTGCCCGGCCACCAGGCTTTTGCCTGCCGCCTGGGTTTCCAATCACCGTCAGTAGCAGGTGGCTTCTTCTGTCCTTCCCCTTTCGCCTCCCATCATTGTGCCTATAGATGCAAATTAACCGCCATCTTTGTTGGCAGTTAATTTGCATATCACCCTGATTAGCCAATGGGAAGCGTAGCAGAGGTATGCAAAAAGGGTTAATTACCCTTTTTGTCTTTTATTAGATAGGATGATACATGTGTATACCTGATAAACCACATTCAAGTTAGGAGCATATCTATGACTGAAACATCTCCTCATGCCCTTTTGCTCTCCTCCTGAACATAAAACCTCATCCCCACCACTAGGCAAAACCACTGGCCAGTTTCTGTGACTAGAGAATAGTTTTCTTTTTCTGGAATTTTACATAAATGGAATCATACAGTATGTAGACTTTTTTGTCTGCCTTCTTTCACTCAGCATATTTATTTTTGTAACATTGTTTTATGTATCAATAGTTTATTCCATCTTATTGCTCAGTAGTATTTTTTGTAAGGATATGTTAAATTTTGTTCTCCACCTGTTGATGGACATTTGGCTTGTTTCCAGTTGTTGGCTATTACCAAGAAAGCAGTTATGAACATTTTCAAACAAGGTATTATATGTACATAAACTTTCAACTTTACTGAGGATATATCTAGGAGCAAAACGATTAGACTGCATGGTAGGTATTTGTTAAACTTTTTAAGAAACTGACTGTTTTCCAGAGCAATTTACCATTTTAGATTCCCACAGCAGGGTATAAGGGTTCCAGTTGCTCCACATTCCCACCAACACTTGAGATGTTTAGTCATTTTAATTTTAGCCTTTCTTGTAGTGCACTGTGATATCTCATTGTGGCTTGAATTTCCACTTTTCTAGTAAGTAATGATGTGAATAACCAATGATGCTGTTTAATGTGCTTATTGCCATCCAAATATACGTTTTTGATGAAGTATCTGTTCAAATTATATCATTTTTTCTCACACTTTGGATGTTTGCTTTTCCAATTAGTGAGATATTTGCTGAATTTTAAGAGTTCTTTAAATATTTTGGATACAAGTCCTTTATCTGATGTGTGCTTTGAAAATAGCTACTTCCAATCTGTGTCTGGCCTTTTCATTCAATGAAAAGTCTGCTTTTTCAAAGAGCAGAGTTCTTAATTTTGAAGTACAATTTATTATTTTTATATTCAGAGTGTTTTTAGCTATTCTCACCTTCAATTTCATGCTGCATCTCTTTCTCCTGCTTTTTCCTCAATAACTCTTCAACCTAGTGATGCAGCAGAAGTTAGAATTAAGAAATAAAGACTATGAGTTTAAGCAAAACCCAGCAATACATGCAAGGGACAAAAAAATGCATTTACTCTGGACATGTAGAAAGAAGGAGGCTGATGTGGAAACGAATGCAGCACATTTTAGAATTTTCAGCATCCCATATTTCATATCATGTGTAATCTGAGACTTTGAGACCAGTTAGCACTGTTTCAGGTGTTTTTGATGGGTGTACCAAACGTCCTAAGAACTGAAGTCATAGTTACTTGGGGGCACAAGGGAACTCTATAATCACCACAAACAGCACTTCGGAAGCCTGGAGCATGTTAACTGACTTCTCAAAACTCTAATACCACAGAAGGTGCTTAGTCTTAAAGACTTTGGGCTTTAGAATGATCCAATTAACTTGACAAGTCACAGAATCATTTGTAACTTTAGTTAAAACTTTTGCTATTCCCTTCATGAGAAACCATGTTACTTACCTTTAGACTTTGCCCACCCCACGCCCAGACTTACACTCTGCATGTACTTCGCCATTTTTTCCTGGTTTTTCTGTTCATTTTCTTTTTCTATTTTCATTTTGTCCTTCAGTAGGGCTATGTTTTTCTTGAAGCTTCTCTCTTGAGCCTCCATTTTTTGCTGTGTTTCATTCAGTGTTTGCTTTAGGAGCTCCTGTTCCCTTTCCACTGCCTCCGTCTTGGCCTGCTCAGCTGTTCCACAGTGGTTTTACAGGGAGAAGAAAATAACAGCTATACCTAGCCATACTTGTCAAAGGTAAGAGACTAAAATGATTTTATAATGTCAGAGAGGAATCCCTGAATATTCTTACTAACAGTACCAGCAAAACATGTTTCAGAATGTGATGGAAAGGCACTGATTGCCTGAGGGAGCAATTAAAACTCACCTGGTTATTTTTAGATTTAGCCAAGTTATTCTAATGCTTTTGTGGAAACACCTTGTTTCAAGAAGGATTTGCTCTCACACATTGAGAGGCACTGTAGGAAGCCCCCTGCCCACCTGCCCTCTGTGATCACAGCCCTGCCCTGTACCTGCTAGAGCCTTCTCCCCAGCAGTGAGGGCCTTGTCAGCCTGCAGGATGGATTCCTTTGTTGCAGCCTGTGACTGCTTGAAGTTCTGGAGGACCTCCATTGCCTGAGGAAATAAGGAGCACAGACTCTTCTTGTTCGGAAGTCATTGTTCAACAAAACTGAAAAATTGACCTTGTAAATTGTTCATCTTTCTTACGATCCCACAATAGTTCTCTTCATTCCATGGCCACAATAGGAAATCCAATCACTTTAGATAGAATAAAACCCCTTTTTGACAACCTCTTTCAAGCTCTACAGTACTGTCCTAATGATGTCAGTCACCACCCACCTCAGGTTATAGACGACCCAGGTTTATGTGCAGTTCTACAAACACTCCTCCTCAATTGTTCCCAGTATTTGCACATTATTTTTCTTCTGACTGGATGCTCATCTACCCTTTCTTCACTCATATAATCTATTGATACTTCAACTTGTAGCTACTACCTCCTCTTCCAGGAAGCTTTGCTGAACTTCCTTCTGAGATTTGACTGGATGCTACATACATATACCTACCCTGCCACCTCTACCACTTACCAGCTGTGTGTTCTTATGTCACTTATTAGCTTCTCAGTGAGTATCATTTCTCAATTATATGACGGGTATGACAGCAGTACCTAAAATCATACTATTCTGAAGACTGAATTGATAATCAAAACAAAGCACCTAAGAATATAGTGGGTTTAGGATGTGTTTGCTCAATATATACTTGTCATCACCATCATCATTTTTATCACTATTAGTGCATACCTGTATGATAACCATTATCTCCCACATCCAATCGGGATGAGGAGATGAGGAGTGACCAGAGAAGATACGTGGAGTTCCAGAGTGATTTGGTTTCTCATTAGCCTCATACATTCTCTGAGTACCTACCAAGTGCCGGCACTGGTCTATGTGCTCAGTATCCAGCGGTAAACAAAGTGGATACCAATTCCTGCCTCATGGAGCTCTTTTCTGGTGGGAGGAGACAGATAATACAGAAAGCAAATAAGCAGCATGCATAGTATATGTATATTAGATGATGGCCAGTGCTCAGGAGGAAACAAGCAAGAACTGAGATAGGGAGCTTGGGCGATGAATTTAAATAGAGGATGGTCTTAATAGGCCTCTCAGATAAAGAGAAATAAATGTGCTCTGTGACCTTGAGGAGGACATTTGTAGTAAATCCTGGGAACTGTTGCAGTTGGAAGATGGGAGACTTTGAGAGGAAGAAGACAAAGAATGAGGCTCGCTCTCAAAACACCACGATACAGATTTTTATAGGACCCAAATACAGGTGTGAATGCAGGAATTCATTTATTTAAACTAGAGTAAAAGGACATTTTTGTTTCTGGGCTGGGAGGGAAGAGAGGCTGTAGCGAAGGTGACTTTGGGTGTGCCCAGAGCTTCCAGAGTCCCACAGCTGGGAGAGGTCTTACTTTAGTGCATTCATCACAGTGGGCGTTTCATGTAATTAAGGAACAGAAAACTGTCAAAGTGCTTTGACTGTCCCTTCACTTTCTCAAAGACAGTCCTATACAACATTCATGTGTTTCTTGCTTTTCCAGCTGTGTGCATTAGAAAAAATAATTTTTCTGTCTTCATTTGTTATCCATAAAATGGCAACACTAAACAAAAACCCCACCACAATCTAATGGTCATTAAAGTCATTAGGAAGATTAAATATATGATAACATTTATAATGTTCTTAAAATCATTGTGTTGCATACTGAATCCTCTGTAAGTGTTGATTAAAAATTGGGTATGTAAGAGGGCTAATCTTCACCTTCTAAATGAAGGTGAAGATTTGACTTTGGACTGAACAGTGACATTTCTTTATCCACTTGTGAGCATGTGGAGGACACATCCCATGAGTAGGACTGTGGCAGGACAGGAGCAGCAGTAACAGCTGGGAGGGAGGACACTGCGGGGAGTGAGTCCTGTGAGAGATCCAGAGTAGTCCTGGGATGTTGGAGCACAGATTCTGGAGTGGCTACCAGTCTTCAAATCACTTCCTGTCAATGAGAACTTTGAAAAGGAATTTACCTCTGTGAGCCTGCATTTCCTTAGTGTGATAGATAAAGCAAGAATTCCTGTCTGACTCATTCCTGTAGGGTCTGGTAACACACAGGGTTTCAATAATTAATGATTACTGTAGAGCTAGGCATTGTGTTGAAATGTGTATATATGTTCAGTAAGCTGTAAATTGTCAACAAATAATGAGGTGTCTAAAATCTTTTTCTCAGAAAATCACAATTTTTTTTTAATTTTATTTTATTTAATTTTTTTTTTTGGTGCCCTGACTAGAGTCAAGAACCTGGGACCCTTCAGTCCACAGGCCGACACTCTATCCACTGAGCCAAACCAGCCAGGGCAGAAAATAACAAATTTTTTTTAACACACTTTCTCTGTACCATTTCTCTTTATTGTCTAAAGGTGATTGAGAGCAGAGTTGGGGAGTAAAACATTAATCTTGTAGCGCTGTGACATAAGCAGGAGGAATTACAGAGTTTATTTCTTGGACTGAATATTTAAAATTTTGGGTAGGAGTAGATAAGTTAACACAATTTTTAAAAAATATAAATAAACTGAAATACCCAATCCAAAAGCTGTTAAGTTCAAATGAATAAGTAAAATGAAATAGTTCTCCTGAGTGGAGTTAGTTGGTTTCCAAAGTTCCTCCTCAGGAGAGTCCATCATCTGAAGTGATGGTGAAAATTGCCCCAAGCCTTGACTTCTCAGCAAGTGTGACAGGACATTCTGAGATGGTTCTTGTATGGACCACACATGAGAAACAACGCCTGGTAAACAAACACTCTTAGATCTTATAGTTAGTTCTAAGAATTGGTAATGAATTGAATTATTCTATATAAAGGAGCTTTGTGCTATCTTTGGAATACTAAGTATTGTTAAATTCAAAAATAACCAGAGTCAACCTTTCAGGAATTAAATTGTCTGTAAGTTAAGGACCACCTTTCTGTTTCTCCAGTGCCTGGAGGTGGGGCAGAGATGATGGTTGTGGTGCAGGGGCAGTCTGAAAAGGGACAGGGAGATGGAGGGGTAGAGACTCCACCAGGAGCCTCTGCAAGTGGATGGGGTTTATTCCATCCATTCCAGGAAGGACTTAGCCCTTTTGGCATTTGAGAGACTATGGGTTCCTCCTCTCCTACTGGAGGGCTCTTTGTGTAGCCCAGAGGCACAGCTCACCCTGGAGACAAGGTGGATGAGTGCTGGTTGCTTCACAGAGAGACCTCTGATCCAAACAGAGACTCTGAACTGCTGGTAGCCAGGCCCAATACTAGCCTCCCTCTGTCCCCTGCCCTTCAGTGCCAAGCCTGCACTTCCAGTGTGAGGCTGGTGCTTGGGCACATGTTGTTGTTGTGTTTGTTAATGAACGTGGGCCTGGAAGAGCTAGTTTAGTGGGAACCTACATGTCTTGGGTGCTGCAGACAGGGGACAACTTCTCAGCAGTCCTAGCTCTTCCCTCCCTCACTCCTCCTGCATCTGGCTCCTTCCCATACTGACTGTTCTCTTTGGAAACTAAAAATAATGAAGATATTACATCCAAGCATTTAAGGGTCAGGTTGATTAGAAACCAAATCAAAATGGAAGG